CTAGTTTTATTGATAAAAATATGCAGAGACTTTTATGAAGCCATTATAGTACAATACTAGACACAGCCCAATAAAATACATTTGATGGACTAAAATGTGTGTGTGTGTGTGTGTGTGTGTGTGTGTGTGTGTGTGTAGAACAGAGTATAACCCCTGGAATGTCACAAGTTGGTAAAGGAGATATACCAAGATATAGCGCTACCAAAAAATCAACAGAAATGTTTGTTCTCATCTCTCAGATACAGGAAAACAATCATTTCTTCCTTTTTGCACCCCTTTTATATTACCCCTTGATTCCCTTCTTGATTGCACTATTAAAGTCCTAGCTATTCCAACTGAATTGGTCTGTATTTGGAGTATAGCATAAACATGTGAACGCTCTTTCCCTGAGCTTGAGACTACTTGTGCAAGTCAGACACAAGAGGCTGTAGAGTTCTCCATGTTTCATTTGTTTACACACATAAATTATGTTTTACAAATATTTCCCTCCCCATTTATACAGGAGATGATAGATAGGTAGGCAGATAGATAGATAGATAGATAGATAGTTAAAGCCAGGTTTTAGTAAAAACTTTAATGAACAATAACAGGCTGATGGATTAATAGCTTTATCATATTGCTAAACAAAGTTGAAATACCACATTCCATGGCATTTGGAACCATTTAACAAGGAGAACTTTCAGGATAGTTTTCAAATAGCTTCTTGTATCTAAATATTAGTTTTTCTAATTTCTATTTTCTTAATTACCAAAGTAGTTGTACAAAGTTGTTTCACTTCAACATGTCAGTTAATGAGTGATATGCATGCTGATCAATGTAACCCTTTCCTTCATTCTCCCCTCATCTGTCCCAACCCCATACATCCCATCAATAAGAAATTCAATTTTTTCCAGAAGTCATGCTTTTCTTTGGCCCGATAAAACTTTTTGTGGGCTAACATGCACATTTTGTACATAAGAGCAGGTATAAACACTGACATCTGGAATAACTATCAGAAAAGAATGTTTCTGAGACATTAAACAAGAGGATATCAATATACACTTACACAATGATATTTTAAACATTTTGTATCCTGATATCAGAGCACCAATAAAACTAGAAAGAAACAGCAAAGAACAAATAAATAAAATTAAATGCATATGTATGGACTAACCATCATTCTATGTTGAATTCTTAAAGGAGATTCACCAGATTGATTCTCCTAGAAATAAATTGGGTATATGCATTTATGGAACAATAAGACAAGCTCAGAAAGGATCCAGAAGTTTCTTGCATTGTAAAGAGAAAATTACTGAGAACTTTAGGATACTGAGGGATGAAGAATGAAAACTGGAAATGACAGAATTTTATGTAGACATGGATAGTGAGACTGGTTCACAGGATCAGAACTGAAAATAATAACTACACACCCTTAGCTTTTCCCACTGGAGAATAACTATAATAAAAGCCTTCTTGTAGAACAAGATGTACACTGAGAACTTTTGCTTACTGCCATGGCCAATGTGCACTGCAGTTTCCACCTATTGTCCCCCCACCCCCACCTTATCAAGCCTGTTTTTTGTTTTCTTTCTTTAGGGATGCATACCTTCTGGATTTTCTTTAAATTTTTATTTTTAAATTGTTCTTATAAAGGTGATATACAGAGGGGTTACAGTTACGTAAGTCAGGGAATGACTACATTTCTTGTTGGACAGTATCACCGCTGCTGCTGCTTCTCTAGATCCCAGTGTTTCCCTCCTATTCTCATCCACAAGTTCTATAGTTCATTTTCAACATAGTATTTACTAAGTAACACTGCTGTATTTGTTCACCCTTTTCTCCTCCATTTCTGTGCTTCTCCTTACCCGCTCAAGGACAGAAAACCGAACACGCAAGACAAAAAAACAACAAAGTTCTTCTTTCCATTCTTGGAATTCATTACAATAAATGTTATTTTGTATGATCAGAGAACATACCTTCTGTTTTAAAAGTTAGCTTTTAAAAAACATTAGAATGTTTTTTATGTTTCAAACTCTAATGTTTTTTCAAAACATTAGAGTACTATTCATGTTACTGCATTCCTCTGGTTTAAGAGTTCTTGAAATGTTAAAATAACATGCTTCTCTAGTATGCTGTATAATTAACTACTTGATTTAGAAAATTTTAATAACAAAGGTATTGATTGCCATTTGAGATGAAAATTGAATTAACATAGAGGAATCTTGATTTTTTTTAAATATACTTGAGGAGAAAATTATTTTTTATTTACTCTAAGTGGCTTAAAGTTCTTATGAAATGCCTTAAATATTTATACTTGTTTCTCTTTTTCCTTATTTGTCAATTGTAGTGCTTGAACTCAGGACTTGGGCACTATCCCGGAGTTCTTTTGCTGAAGGCTAGAACTCTACTATTTCAAGGTATAACTTCACTTCTTGTTTTCCGGTTGTTAATTGGAGATAAGTCACATGGACTTTCCTGCTCAGGCTGGCTTTGAACCATTATCATCAGAACAGCCTCCTGAGTAGCTAGGACTGCAGGCAAGAGCTATCAGCTGGCCTGTGGTTCTTTCTTCTTTCTTCCTCCTCCTCTCTTTCTTTCTCCCTCCTCCTCCTGCTCCCCCTCCTCCTCCTCCTCCTTATTCTTTCTTCTTGTCAGTTGTGGAGCTTGAACTCAGGATCTGGGCAGTCCCTGAGCCTCTTCATGCCCAAGGCTAGCACTCTACTACTTCAAAATATAACTTCACTTCTTGTTTTCTGGCTGTTAATTGGAGATAAGTCACGTAGACTTTCCTGCTCAGCTGGCTTTGAACCATTATCAGATCAGCCTCCTGAGTAACTAGGATTGCAGGCAAGAGCTACCAGCTGGCCTGTGGTTGTTCTTTCTTTCTTCCTTCCTTCCTTCCTTCCTCCCCCCTCCCTTTCCTCCTCCTCCTTCTTCTTATTCTTTCTTCTTGTCAGTTGTGGAGCTTGAACTCACTTGAACTCAGGGTCTGGGCATTGTCCCTGAGCCTCTTTGTGCCCAAGGCTAGCGTTCTTCGTTTTAAGTGATTAATTGGAGATAAGAGTTTCACGGGGACTTTTCTGCATGGACTGGCTTTGAACCATGATTCTCGGATCTCAGCCTCCTGAGTAGCTAGGATTACTGGTGACCATTTGTAGTCCATTATTGAAGGAAGCAAGCACCATTTCAACATGTCAATCATACATTTTGTGTATCATCATTTAATCATCAGTAAATAGGAACAGCTGAAGCTTTGTTTATATAATTCATGTTACACTGCATTAATGTTATTAATATCATAGGATCGCTACTTAAGAACTAAACCATGTTAATAATTTGGCTTCTTTCAGGTTTCTCGAGTAATTAAAATTGGTTTTAAAAGAAGATTGAGTTGGCTCAAATATTTGTATACTGGCCAGAAACCTATTAAAAGATCCAGTGCCATTACAATTTCACTTTCATGCCAGATGTCATTATTGAATGGTAGGTTCATTAACTCTCAAATGCCAACCTACACAATCTTCCAACAATTTCAGTTTCACTTTGGTGTGAAGAGTCTGAAAGTGCATTTTATGCAAATACATAAACTTCACAATTTTATAGACTAGAATTCAACATTTGACAAATGAAAATACATGACGTATAGGAAAAAAGTGCTCTATTTTGAATAATTAGTGTAAATTACTCTTCTGACCATATTTTCAACTGGTGCCTATTTACTTGGACAACTAATACCCCTAAAATTAGTACTGAAATTCAGTTGTGCAGATAATCATAAAACAAAATTACGAAATATTTATAACATGTACCTTTTCTCTTTATGTTTTTAGGAGTGCACTTGTGTCAGTTGCACAGCTGCAAAGATTATCTCTTTTCCCACATAAATCTATTAATTCTTCTTCTTGCATTCATTATTTTAAAGCTATTTTTCAAGTTTAGCAGACATTTCCCTGGCAGTACAACTACCGCCCTAAGCAGCAGGATAGTGTGAAAATAATGCCATTTCGGTGCCATGTTCTAATTCGGTGTTCTTTGGTTATAAACCGTTAATATGGGGTTGTTGGAAAATTCATCGGATTAAAATGATTTCTGTGAAACGTGTAATTTTTTCTTTATAACGAAGGAAAACTGATGAACTAAAATAGGCTATGATATGGATGGTTTTCTCCCAGAAAACTAGTCGTGGCATTGTTGTTTTTATTACGGTGACAGGGTGGAAGATGCTGTATTTCCTCTCCGTGCGATCGCATGTAATATCCTGCGCTCGCTCTATTTGGTGCCGGGAAAAGCAGCCCTAAGATACGTTTCCGTTTCAGCTTTGTAAAACTGGAGGAAAGGTTATTTTATTTATATTCGGAACTGACTTATTTGGCTTTCCCCCTTGGGGGGGGGTGGGGCGGAGGGGGGGGGGGCTGATAATTGCCGGCAAATCCTTTCTCTCTCAAACCTTAATAGAAGCTCCGCACTGGAAGGTTCCTGGTGGCCACAGGGTGGACTCAGTGACGTTCCTACCCCCCCCCCCCCCCCCCCCCCCCCCCGCCCCAGGCTTCACCCACATCCCCGGAGAGGGCCGGGAAGTGACAGAAACGGAAATGCCCGACTGCCGGGCTGGACTCTGAGAACGCACCTGCTCTCAACTCGGCCACTAGCGACTCTCCCACAGCTTGCCTCCCTTTCCATCCCCCTTCCCGCGATCTCCACAGCCACCTGCTCCCGCGCCGCAGCACCTCCACCCGCCTCCAGATGGCTGCCAATCACAGCTTTCCACAGCAACCTGGTGAAGAAAACAGTGGTTTGGCTAGTCCCGCCCCCTCCAAAACTACTTCCCGCCCTTCAGGCTCCTTTGTCCAATCATCAGTGCCTAAGTGCCCGTCGGTTCCCGCCCTCCCACGGGCTCGCCCCTTTGAGCCTGATGGAATCACCAGACCCGGAGGCGTTCCCTAGGAGGACAAGCCAGAAGGGGCGTGTGCTTGGAGGGGAGGAGCGTGAGGAGAAAGGAGGGATGCCGGGAGTGGGGCGGGGAAAAAGGTTGTCAGTCGGATCTCGCGAGAGAGGACGGAAGCCTGTGGGAGCCCGTGGCCTTTAAAGTAAGGTTCATCCCTTTCCTCCAGGGTAGTTTGTAAACACGGCTGTGCGCGGGGCTCCGGGGTGGCCGCCAGGATCCCGGATTAGTGACTGGGAAAGGTGAGTCGTGACGGGGAGAAGGCCTCAGGATCGGAGACTAGGGGGATACTGAGAACGAAGGCACTAACATGGCGACGCCGCTCCCCACAGTCCCCACCCCCCGCCGCCCAGCCCCTCGGCTCTCCGACCGCAGACCCCAGCCCCCTGGGCGGTCGTGGCCGGGCCGCCCCCTGCGCAGAGCTTCGCCGTCAGCTTCGGGGCCGGGCGGGCGCGGCGGGACCGTTAGGTAACCGGCTTCGTTGTTCCGGCCCCTCCCTCGCGCGCTTTCTTAACCGAGAAAAAGGAATAACGGCTGCTGTCAGACCCCTCCCTCCGCTTTATTATCTCCTTCCCTGGTCACCCTAGAGGGCCCCGGGTGGGGGTGGGGGGGCGCTGGGTACCCCAAGAGACCCTCAGTCCTTGGATGGGGCCGGAAGAGGGCCTACACTCGGGTCTTTGCATCCAAGACTCAAGCAATTGAGGACCGTGTGTGTGTGATGGTGGCGGGGAGGGGGATTGGGAAGCGCCTCTGAAAACAGGGTCAGTGTCCCCGACATCGATGGGAACCGGGTGGAACGAGTGGGATGGAGAAGCTGGAGGTCTCGGCCTTTCCTGTCCTTTCTGCCATCCTTACACCATCACCTCCCCCACCTCTTTCCAGGTGGGGCGGGGTTGAGGTGTGGGTGCAATTGATTCTGGTATTTTCCTCATTTATTTTACCTCCTAGGCAGACCGCAGACCTGTAGAGAAAGAATCTTTTTTGCTTTTGTTTTTTTAAATCAGTGTCCTAGCCACCGGAGCTAGGGGTGTGTGTGTGTGTGTGTGTGTTTGTTTGTGCGTGTGTGTGTGTGTGTGTGTGTGTGTTAGGCTCACTGGTTGAGCCGAATAGGGAAGTGCTAGGGAGTATTTTTACACCGTAGATAATGTAGAGTTGTCTTTCCGTAATTGGGGATGCTTAAAATTGTTGAGGCTAAAACGAAACTACCCGAGTATGATGGAGTAAAGCAAAATGGAGTACTCCTGATGACCTTAGGCCTATCGATCAATCCTAAATTATGTGAGATTTACAATCATAAGCATCATAAATTATGGAGACAGTCACATACATATATGTTATGCATATGTTTGAAATCAGAACAAATACTAACCTTTTTTCTTCTTAACACTTTTTGTCCTGCTTAAATAAATTTTTAACCACTGGCACTACCATTGTCAGTAATAGCTATTAGACCAGATGGCCTTGGTCTGTTGTTCCAAAATTGTGAAAGTAAGAGAATTATAAACAATTTATAAAGCTTGTTAAAGGGTCAGAGTTATGTGCCCTGATATACAAACAAGAGCAATTTGTTTTGTATTTAAATTTGTTTCACCTACTTGAGGAATCTATTATAATAAACACTTTTTACCCCCAAAAACTATAGGAACATCTTTGTAAAGCTTTTTTTTTTTTTTGGTCCGTCGTGGGGCCTGAACTTTGGGCCTGGTGCTGTCCCTCAGCTCTTCAGCTCAAGGCCAGCTCTCTACCACATGAGCCACAATGCCACTTCCGGCTTTTTCTGCTGTGGTGCTAAAGAATCAAACCCAGGGCCTCATGCATTCAAGGCAAGCACTCTACAACTGAGTCGTCTTCCCAGCCTCTGTAAAGCATCCCTTAAAAACATTGATAAACCTGCATGTCAAGAAAAATAATTAAGACGTTACATTGATCTTTGAGACCATTCTTAAGCTTCCTACTTTTTTGTAAAATAATTCCTAAGAACCTTTGAAATTTCCAAGTGATATATATGCTGCTCTCCTAAACTTTAATTTTTCTTTGAGGATGCTGCTGCCATCAAGTTTTTTAAAAATTGTTTAAAATGTAATATTGTAATACACTAGACCTAGTTTTTGTATCTTGTCAGAAAGGAGCTTTTAGAGACGTTTTCTGTGTGTTTAAGATACATAATACCTCCTGTAGATTGATTGCATTTACTGGAAAGGTATTTTAAAAATAATTTATTAGAATGTTATTTTGTATTAAGTGCAGTGTGTTAGGTATTAAATACATAAACCAGGGGCTAGGAAGGTGGCTCAGTGGTAGAGTGTTTGATTGCATGCTTGAGGCCCTGGGTTCAGTTCCTCAGCACAACATAAGCAGAAAAAAAAAGCCAGAAGTGGCGCTGTGGCTCAAGTGGTAGAGTGCTAGCCTTGAGCTGAAGAGCTGAGGGACAGTGCCCAGGCCCAGAGTTCAGGCCCCATGACCAGACCCAAAAAAAAAAAAGAAAATTTTAAATACATAAACCAGAAATTCATGCATTTATTTTTTATGTGAAGTATTTTCTCTCTCCTTCCCTCCCTCCCTCCTCCTCTTCTTCCTCCTCTTCCTCCTCCTCCTCCTCCTCCTCCTCCTCCTCCTCCTTCCCCCTCCTCCCCTTCTATCCCCCTCTCCCCCTCCCCTCCCCCTCCTCCCCTTCTTTCCCCCCTCTCCCCCTCCCCCTCCCCCTCTTCTCCTCTTCTTCCTCTTCTTCTTCTTCTTTTTTATGCCAGTCCTGGGGCTTTATTGAACTCAAAGCCTGGGCACTGTCCTTAAGCTTCTTTTGCTCAAGACTAGCACACTCTACCACTTAAGTCACAACACCACTTCTGCATTTTTCTGTTATGTAGTACTGAGGAGTCGAATCCAGGGCTTGCTTCATGCATGCTAGGCAAGCACTCTTACCACTAAGTCACATTCCCAGCTCTATTTCTTATTTTAAACAACAAATGGTTGTGTTAGCTCCAAAGTAATTGAAGGGATACTTTTGGTTTATATTCAGGAATTGGAAACTATATATGAATATTTTTGAAAGCATTATCCATCTAACAACTTTATGCAATAACCAGCATAAACTCAAAAAAACCCTACATTTTTCCTACCTAAGATCTTTGTATTTTTAAAAACTTGGGTTTTAATGATTTATATCTACTTTGTGAGTCAATTAAATTGCAAGATTAGGTAAACAGTCCCACTATATATGCTGGTTACACTCATTTTGTCTTCAGGTTCTTCCTTCCAGTATGAAATATGTCTATAAACTGGTATTCCTCTGTTATTCTTATTGATTAGGAAAGATAATTGGAATTAGGAAAGATAAAGCCGTTAGGTCTTTTTTTAAAAAAACCCACAATTTCACCAAAACTTCCTGTTTAAAGCACATAAAACAGTAAGTTGTTTCAATTTATCTTTATAAAAATGATGCATGTAGCCAGGCACTAGTAGCTCACCCCTTAATTCTAGCTACCTAGCAGGCTGAGATCTGAGGATCAGGTTCAAAGCCAGCCCAGGCAGGAAAGTCCATAAGACTCTTATCTCCAATAAACCACTCAGAAAACTGAAAGTGGCTCTGTGGTAGTAGACCACTAGCTTTGAGCTGAAGAGCTGAGGGACAGCGCCCAGGCTCAGAGTTCAAGCCCTACAACTGACAAAAAAAAAAGAAAAAAAAAGATGCATGTAGTATTTGTCTGTTCCCTGCTTCACTGTGCATTGTTATTATCAGTAGCCTAATTTAACATTCTTGTGTTTATCTTGAATTCACACTTATTCCTTAAAGCTATGAACTTGTCTGAGATCGTGTGTGTGTGTGTGTGTGTGTGTGTGTGTGTGTGTGTGTGTGTCTGTGTCTGTGTGTCTGTGTGTGTCTGTGTGTGTTATGGGGGATTGAAGCTACGCCTTCACCCTTGCTAGACAAGGACACTACCACTACTACTGAACTACGTCCTCTCATCCTTTCTGTATATTGATTTTAATGTTTAAGTAATAGTGACAGTAATCATATGCACATATGCGTACGTTCTTGCAATAGTTGTAAAAGCATTTTAAAACATTTCAGTAAGCTGGGCTCTGGTAGCTCACACCTGTAATCCTATCAACTTGGGAGGCTGAGATCTAAGGATTGTGGTTCAGAGCCAGCCCAGGCAAGAAAGTCTGTGAGACTCTTATCTCCAATTAACCACCAGAAAACCAGAAGTGAGCTGTGGCTCAAAGTGGTAGAGTCTTAGCCTTGAGCAGAAAGTACTCAGGGACAGTGCCCATGTCTTGAGTTCAAATCCTAGGACTGACAAAAATAAGACAAAAAACTTTTCAGTAAGATGCTTTGGGGTCTACATGTTTATATCTTAAAGAGTGCTCCAACCTTTTTCCCTCCAAAGGAAAGGAAATCATTATAAGATAGTATTTGCTTATTCCTAACAAGATTGATAAAAAAAAGAATGGCATTTTTTTTTTTTATTGTGAAGATGCCATACAGAGGGGTTACAATTATATGGGCAAGATAAGGCAATTTTATAATTAACAAAATACTAAATGGACTTTGCTTATTTTAGGACTGTATATTTACCTTAAATTTATAAATGTTTTTCAGTCTGATGTACCTACTGCAACCTATGTTGTTGTTGTTTTTTTTGTTTTGGTTTTTTTTTGGGTCCGGTTGTGGGGCCTGAACTCTGGGCCTGGGTACTGTCCCTCAGCTCTTCAGCTCAAGGCTAGCACTCTACCACTTGAGCCACAGCGCCACTTCCGGCTTTTTTTTTCTGCTTATGTGGTGCTGAGGAATCAAACCCAGGGCCTCAAGCATGCAAGGCAAGCGCTCTACCACTGAGCCACCTTCCCAGCCCTGGAACCTATGTTTTTGCATTGTAATTTTGTAGCTTTGTTCTCCAATCCTATATTTTTTTTTCCAAGTTTACTTTTTGGGTTAGCATACTTTAATTTGTTCGACACCTATTTGAGAGATTTAAGAACAATTGTAATTTTGCCATGGTAACAAATAAGAGTTCTCATTTTCTAATTTGTGAATATATACTATAGTTTTAGAATTTTAATATCATAAATGTGTGTGTGTGTGTGTGTGTGTTGTGGGGCCTGAACTCTGGGCCTGGGTGCTCTCTTTCAGCTCTTCAGATCAAG